CGGCGGGCGGTGCGAGCGGCGGGCGGGCGGGCGGCCGATTTCTTGGTGCGCGGTGGGGGGTCTCTTTTGGCCGGCCCCGATTTTTTTTCAGAGGGGAATATCATGCCTGGAAAATCAAGCATCAACCATCTCCCCTGAAGAAATACTTGATATTTCCCGTGTTGGTTCTGAGCTTAAAAACAAAGACGGCTTGATGATTCCATGCCTCTGCAGGGTTGTTTGCAAAAACGAAGCAAGCAAATGCAAATTCATTTTCTCAATAAATTCACTCGCAAAGAACAACAACCATAAGAACCTTCGTTCTCGCCCTGATCTAACCTTACAGCAATGTGTACGATCCCAAGAGCTACGTTCTGAGCTCAAAAGATTACATGAATTAGGTAATACAAATCTATACATTGATAACCGTGCTAACTGTATCAAAAGCAAGAGCCTCAACCCACGTCACAATATCCATCACCCAAACATCCAACGTTAGGGATGCACGCTCCTTACTTCCTCCAGACCCACTACTTCATATCTTAAATTCAAACTACTTAATGCAAGAAGCCTCACAAATAAAATGCATGAATTCCTCATCCTTCTAAGCTCAACCACATTTGACATTATATTTGTCTGTGAGACATGGTTAAATGCATCTTTCCCAGACTCCATTACCACTACAAGAGAATATCAAGTTTTTCGAGCAGATCACGAAATCCATAAAGGTGGTGGAGTTGCTATATTCTATAAAAAGTCTCTAAATCTAAAAAAGATCCAAATTATACAAGAGCTTGCTGTTCCCGAGACCATCATCTGTGAACTGTCCTTAAACATCTCAATTCACTTCTTACTTTGCTATCGTGCCTGACTATGATATAATTCATGCAAACAAACTAACTTCACTACTGACATGGGCTGCCTCCTGCCCACACCCTCTCATTTTTCTTGGTGACCTCAATTTACCTCTTATAAATTGGACACTAAATTAATGTACATCTGAACCCATTCATACAACCCTGTACAATGCCGTTACCACACTAGGACTGGAACAACTAGTAACCAACAACACTAGACTTAACTGCTTCAATCTCATCTTCTGCAACAGTTTGGATTCAATTTATGGAATACAAATTAATGAATCCTTTTCCAACAGTGTCCATAGCATGATTGACTTTTGTCTCAACATATGTCCTCACAAAAATCACCATAATGACAGGATCCCCAATTATAACTTCAAAAAAAGCAACTATGATCTTATAGACAACGATCTCTCATCTCTTGATTGGCAAATTCTATTCACTGGATGCAATACTGTTGAAGACCACTACATCATATTTATACTTGAAGTCAAAAGAGTCATCAAATTATATGTACCAATAACAACTCCCAAAACCAGAAAAAACAAATTACCCATAACAATAAGGAAGCTCCAATCCAAAAAGAAATCCCTTTGGCAGAAAAACAAATCTGGTCACGTTGTCAACTTTAAAAGCCGATACAAAAATTTATGCCATCAGATAAAGACTGAATGTACCAATTATCACACTAAACAAGAGGAAAACCTTCTACGCACATGCACTTTCTACAATTTTGTAAACAACAAACTAAAAGACTCAAGGTCCATCCCACCCCTAAAAGAACCAAATGGTAAAGACTGCAACGATGACACCATTAAAGCCAACAACTTTAACACATTCTTTGGCTCAGTATTTGTAAACAGCAATGGATCATGACCAGTATTTCCTAGTTGAACCACAGACAACTACAATGATCTAATACATATCAATTTTACAGAAGACAATGTTGAAAAAGCACTACGCAATCTAAAACCATCTTTATCTATTGGACCGGACGGAGTTTGTGCCTACTTCTTAAAAAAGCTATCCACTGCCATAGCTGAACCTCTAAGCATAATCTTTGAAAAACTTTCAGGACCAGCTCCTTGCCAAATCTATGGTCACTAGCCACAATAATTCCCATCTTCAAAAAGGGAAACCCCAGCCTAGTTGAAAATTACAGACCAATCTCTTTATGCTGTGTCACCTGTAAAGTCATGGAATCAATTATTAACCAATCCATTATCGTCCACTTAGAGACAAAGAACCTACTCTCTAACAAACAGTTTGGTTTCAGAAGGAACCTGTAACTCTTGCACTGTAAAAACATATGGACTACACAACTTGATCAGGGCAAAGCAATTGACGCAATTTACATAGACTTCTGTAAAGCCTTTGATTCAGTGGTACATGACAAACTACTCCTAAAACTAAGGTCTTATGGTATCTCTGGATACCTGCATAGCTGGATAGAAGCATTCCTGTCAAATAGGCAACAAATGGTCAAAATTGGGAGCGGCCTATCAAATCCTGTACCTGTCAACAGTGGTGTCCCCCAAGGCAGTGTTCTAGGACCAACTCTCTTCATACTCTACATACATGACCTCTGTGATCATATTAAGAGCAACTGTGTTCTTTTCGCTGATGATGTAAAGCTATTCAACACCACTGACAATGCTGCTACCCTTCAAAAAGACCTCGACTATGTGTCAGAATGGTCAAACAAATGGCAACTTCAAATCTCAACAAATAAATGCTCTATCTTACATATTGGCAAAAAAAACCAAAAAATAAAATACAAGCTGAATAGTCAAGACCTTGTTGATGACAAAAACTTTGTCAAGGACCTTGGAGTACTCATCTCAAATGATCTAAGTGCTAGAGCCCACTGTAACTACATAGCCAAAAAGGCATTAAGTGTTGTTAACCTAATCCTGCGTAGCCTTTTCTCTGGTAATATGACTCTACTAACTAGAGCATATAAAACATTTGCTAGACCAATACTTGAATACAGCTCATCAGTCTGGAACCCACATTACATATCTGATATTAATACAATTGAGAAAGTCCAGAAATATTTTACAAGAAGAATCCTCCACTCCTCTACTCGTAGCAGAATACCTTATGCCACCAGACTTGAAATTTTAGACCTAGACAACCTAGAACTAAGCCGCCTTCGGTTCAATCTAAATATAGTATATAAAATTATATATTGCAATGTCCTACCTATCAATGAATACTTCAGCTTCAACCAAAACAATACAAGAGCACAAAATAGATACAAACTAAAGATAAACCATACCAAACTTGATTGCAGGAAGTATGACTTCAGCAACAGTCAATGTCTGGAATACTCTACCTGACTCTGTGGTTTCTTCCCCAAACCCCAAAATCTTCAACATGTCTACTATTGACCTCACCCCTTTCCTAAGAGGTCTGTAGGGGGCGTGCATAAGTGCACCAAAACGTTCCTACCATCCCTGTCCTATTGTTTCTTTTTTTTTTATTCGTATCCATTTCATGTATTTATAACCATGTTTATACTTATACCTGTTATCTAATAATTGTTTGAGAAAATAAATAAATAAATAAATAAATAAATTCTAAACCAGCACTGAAATCCAGTATATGCTACATGCAAAAGTCATCTCCTTTTGTTTTTAAAAACTGTTGGGAAAACAGCAGTTACATTGCTTATAAAATTCCTACATGATCTTGGCTGTTTTGAAAAGCTAAGAGGGTTGCACCTCATTTGATGGGAGACCAGGTATTATCATAATGGTGAGTTAAACTGAGTAGTCAAAAAAAATATCCCCAAGAAAGCAATGGCAAACAACTTCTATATTGTTGCTGAGAGCCATTTTGGTGTAATGGTGAAGGGGCTGGCATACAAACCAGAAGACTTACTTCTAGGCCTCCCTAAGACATGAAAGCCAGTTGGGTGATCTTGAGCTAATCACTCTCTCAGCCTAACTCACCTCACAGGGCTGTGGTTCTAGGGAAACCAGAAGGAGGAAGTAATATTAGGTGTATTGAGTAACTTTTAAAAGCAATAAATGCTGGATTTTTTAAAAAAACCTAATAAATACATAAGAAAACAACACAGACAATTCAAGGAAATCACCAACAGTTTTCCAAACATTTTAATACTGTATTTTTTTTCATAAAATGTAACAGGAAATTATTCTGAACTAGGAACCATATGTATATTCAACTATGTTTGATTTTTGATTTATGTTTCATCAATCTATTTAATTCCCAAAATATTGTATTTATATTTTGGAGGGATAAATGCTCTGTAGTGCAATGTGATGCAGTTTATTAATTCTAGGTGGTTATTGGCAAAAGAGTATTTTGTGGTGAGTGTTACACAGTAATGTTCTACCTATCATTCATTATTAGGAGGCAAAAATTTATGTATATGAGATGTATATATACATAAATAAATGTCTGTCCTCCAATAATGAATGATACATACATACAATTTTATATAGCCATGCATTTCAAAGCAGTAACTCTGCTGTGAGTGTTGTAAATACAGTTCTGTATACCATCACTTCTTAATTTATTGAATGAGTATTTAATATTAGGAAATGCCTTTAGTTTCAAGATGGTTGACAGTAGTATGTTATGAAATTAGTTCCCTGTATTTTGTGTCCTTTCCTACAAAACCTTCAGAACAGTTCAGTATGGATCCATTTATTCAATTACAATAATTACACAAGCGAAATGTCTTCAAAGAAAAACAAAGTCCAGTTGTCTCTTAAGAAAACATATTTAGTACAGAGTTAAATGTTTCTCCTTTATTTTGGTTTGCAACCTCATAATCAACTTCAGAAACATTCAGCTGCAACCAAATATTTCCTTTCCCCCCCAATAAAATCTAGAAACCAAATTAACAAAACATCATTTTACTCTTAAAACTATATATAAACTATTTCCAAAAGTGAATTAGAAATTTTAGAAATTTGCACTGAAACTTTTGTTCAGGAGTAGAAAATATTGCATCTATAAAAGTGAGATGTGTTACACTGATCAACAAACTTCCCAGGCAGCTAACTAACTAAATAATATAAATTCATCTCACTGTTGTTGTTTTTTTCATTTTAAAACCAGTCTAATAGTATTTTGCTGAAGTGCTGCTTATAATGTAACTTTAGCTTACAATGTGTTGTTCTTTCTAATTAGGTACAGTCTCAAATGAGGTTTTAAAGTACACATATAATGATTTCTGGAATAAAGAAACAAGTACTTATGTTGCATATATAAAAACTGAAGAAAAACGTTCACCTTCTACAAAAAATCAGGATTATGTTGTTGAAATAGGAGATGAATCTACAACATATGGTTATTTTAATGGAAAATTAGATCCTCTTGGGTCATACAGGTAATTTTTCTCATGTTTCATAATGCATCTTTATAATACATGTGAATAAAACATGATGAATGAGTAATCTACATATCTCTGAAAACTCTTGATTGTATCTCAGCCTAATAGCTATTTCCTTTCTTCCCTACCTTTGATTAGGGCATGTGTTGCCGCTTTCACTAGAATTGTATTTGTGAATGAGACCATTGTCAACGCAGAGGAGAGTTATGTCTCATTTTCTCATCTTTCACCATTGGTTGGTTTACCTCAGAATCCAGGTATTGATCAAATTCTTGTTGCAAACCCAGCTCTATTCTGACCAAACCTTTGACTCTTCAGATTAAAATGCTTACTAAAGTTGAAGAGAAAATCAATATTGTATATTTTTAAATAGCGTGCATGCACAACCACCGCTTACGCAAATGTAGGTGTGCGCGCCAACCACTGATATGGAACCATCCATCCCCTCTCTCCCCCCTCCCCACCTTGCTGGTCTGCCAAGCCAGAAAGATTGGGGACCACTGTTCTAAGACATTAATTATTGATTGATTGAATGAATGAATTTATATTGCCGCCCATTCGCCCACGGTGACTCGGATTCCATTGCTCTGCAGATGAAGTTGCAGTAGCCTAATTTGAATCTATCGTATCAGTAAATTACTGAAGCCAAACTTTTTCTATCCAGATAGTTTGACTTGGTGTATTCTCCAATAACTTGGTATATTCTCCATACTGGTGTATTAAAGGAATCTGCATGTATACAGGGGACTTGTTCTATGCTAGTCTGAAGTCTTACATGTGCTAGCATATATGATAATTCATACGCTATAAATTTCATTTAGTGTTCTTAGCGCCAAGATTCAGAAACAGGCTGCTTTGCTATTGTTAGCAGTAACAAATGTAAAGGATGTGTGAATTGACAATTCACTTTGCTTTGATGTAGTACATCATTCTATATCAGTGTTTCTGAAGCTTGGCAGCTTTAAGATGTATGGAGTTCAAATCCCAGATTTCCCCAGCCAGCAAGCTCTGTATCAATTAAGATTTGAAGTTTTGAAGCTGATCCAGTTTAGCTGGCTGTCTTTATTAAGGATAAATTGTGGCAATAAAAGCAAAAAAATATCAGAGCAGCATAAGTGGGTGGATACAATCATTAAAAAGAGGCATAAAGGATCTAAAAATATACATCAAGAGTGAAAATGAAGATCTGAAAAGAATGATAAAAAGCTAGAAGATATAAAAGACACACAGAGAGAGAGGGAGAGAGAGGGAGGGAGAGAGGGGGTTGAAGCATTAGATGGGTGTAAAGGAGCATAAAAGTATGAAGAAAACTGTATATCGCTTTTCTCTTTTTCAGCTGTCATCACAGGAGGTGTTGTCGGAAGCATTTTGGTTCTGTTAGTTATTGTTGCAATTGTTGGATTCATCTTCTGGAAAAAGAAAAGGTATAAAAACAACTTCATAATGCAGCTATTTTGAATTCCATGATAAATCGTGGGCATCTGTACTGCAGAGCCCACCAAGATTCTCCAAATCTCCCAGCATTCCCAGATAGATCATTGTGTGTTTTTTTTCTAGAAATCTTCAGCCAAAACATCCAGTCAGCATAGCTATTAATGGATTATGGGAATTGTAATTCAAAACATGGACAGTTTGTTTTTTATTTTTTCTTGCTTTAGATCTGATGCTACACAGATTTTTTTTTCCTGGTAAACTTATATTAAGTATACTGGAATGATATGCAGGACTGCTAGTTACTCAGAACTGTCTTGTCACAGATAATTGAATATACTACCCTTTACTAATTTCTGAAAACGCATTTGTTGCCTACAGAAAAGCATAATTTATGGTAATGTAATCCCGTTAACTAGATGGAAAGCTACGCAACTAGTTTGATGTAAATATTAAAGAATGGAAATCCCAACTAATTTGTTTTCAATCTCTACTTTTACAGGAAAGGTAGAAATAACGAAGTGCCATTTAGTCAAATTGAGTGAGTTGAATGCTTTTTTTTATTTCTTTGCCTAGTATTCAGAAATCTGTTTGAACTTTTTTTCTTATCTTGGTTTGAAAATGGGTGGGAGAGGGTGACATATAAACAATCTGCTGGATTTGGGTAGCAGCCAATACATTTAAATAAATAAATAAATTCCATAGCATTTCCAAAGCTTTACAAACAATTAACATCACTAGAATTTTAATAAGCCATTTAATCTTTAAGGAAACCATGCAGTTGCTAATTCTGTAAATGGTATTATGTTTAGTTTCATCTTAATAATAAAAATGTTAAAGTTGTTCCAAATGAAGTAATACCTATAAGAAGCAAGGGGAAAAGGAACAAATAATTGGAAACAGCATTAACATAGCTTAAACAGAGATAAGATACTTTTTAAACCAATACATTGTTTTCAAAACTTAATTGGAACCATTCATATCACAACAGGGGATTATTTTAGGGAATTCATTACAACCTTTGCTGAATCCCAAATATTATATATAAAAATTGTTTTGCTCAGTTAATAAGGACAATAACTAATGTGTACTTTCCTTTTTCTTTCTTTTTTCCTTTCCAGACCTAAAAAGTAAGTACATCCTGAATGAATATAATTATTGATTCTACCCTTCTACCCAAAATTATATATATAGCTTGGAAACTAAACATTCAGAATAAGTATACATTCTGATTTCTGTTTAGTTTCCAAGCTATATATATATAATTTTTGAGTGAATTTTTTGTTTTACTTTACATGTTAAACACTTCACTTGTCAAGTGTTTCTTTGCTTCACTTTACTTTTGGCTTTTGGAATTTCTAAATTGCTATTCACTCTCATTCATACCTTGTTATGTTTCACCACTTCTCAATGACACTTGACAAATACAGGGACTTTTTTGCATAATTAAGGAGTTAAGTCCCGAAATGACTCAGTACTTTTTTGTGGTTTGAACAAAACTGTACACTAAACAGTAGCTGCTGTTTTTGTCTTTTGCAGATCAAAATTACTTAAAGTTGAAAATTATGAATCTTATTTTAAGAAACAAAAAGCTGACTCAAACTGTGGGTTTGCTGAAGAGTATGAGGTACGCTTTTTAACAATTCTTATTCACACGGAAATATTTTTCATGCATATATGGTCACTACCATTATTAAGCGAATTCTTGCACTTTTCAAGAGTTATATATTAGAGTGTATTTCAGTAAGGAGCCAAAACTCAATTGTGAAAACAAATTAACAAGCAGAAATAATAATTACCTTTCCTGACATCCACTGTTACAACAATGCTAAATATTAAAAAAAGGTCTTATGTTTTGAGACAAAACAGTAATAAATTATATCTTTCTCTGTTGTAGGATCTCAGGCCAGTTGGTGCTAATCAGCCTAAATTTGCTGCTGAATTGTCAGATAACAAAGGAAAAAATAGATACAACAATGTTTTGCCTTGTAAGTTCCCCATTCTATTCCTGTATTTACTCTTATTATTGCCTAAAATATTTCAGCTGTAACTTTATAAAATGTGATCAGAACTTCCATTTGGGCCAAAACAGTTCCTGCTATGTTTTCTGCTTTTCTGTTTAGTTGTAAATGGAACTTTGATTTTAAATTCTCCATATTTTCCTTGGTTCTTGACACAATATTTGATATGGATGGTAGAACTCTGGACTGTCATGTTTCATTTAAAAATTGTGGAGGGATCAGAGTTAATCAATAGGTTTCTTTTTCCTGTCACATAAATGTTGGAACATTGGGAAAAAGAACTCTAAACAAATCCTAAATATAGTACAGGTAGGCCTTAGAAGCCTAATTTGTAGAATTGTAATTTCCTTCAATCCTCTTGATTGAAAAAGGATTTAAGTAACTTTTTTTCTAAAGTATGTCAAGTTAGTAAGCTAATCTAATGATGTGCCATTCTGTGTGAAGAGAGATCATCATAATCTTTCATTTTCCACCTCAATTGGCGCATGGACAATCATCAATAGGGGCCAAAGTTGGTAATGAAAAAGAGGATTCTCATATGTAACCAATTCCCATTAAATGATACAGGAAGTGTCTAAATCACTCAAAAAACAAGGTGGAAAATAGGTTTTTAGTGCTCAGAAGCTCTCTCTCAGAAATCATGCTACTGAACTGCATCAAATTCTTATGTACCAAATTAAAAGCTATAAAATGACCGTTGTCTCTTAAAAAACATTTTGAAAATTGCATTTGAAAATTGAATGTTCCTTTAGCTCCTTTCTTTAATGAAATTAATGGGATATGATTGATTGAAGCATAATTAATTTGACTGAAGTGCTAATGTATTAGTACTTCCCTAAGTTTTAATACTGGGCTTGAATAATTACATTTTACTGATGACGTTACATAGTTTGGTAATGAAATGTCTGCAAGAAAACCACCCAACTCAGATAGCACCAAGAACCGTACATAATTAAACTTACTTATAGCCCCATATTTTTTCACTTTGCATATGACCTTTCACAATGAATGCATTTTATTTATTTAATGAATTTACCTAAATTACATTTTAAAAGCAAGACCTAACATCTCTTTTTTTCTCTCCTTGTAGATGATATTTCGCGTGTTAAACTTTCAATTCAAAATCACCCAACTGATGATTACATAAATGCAAATTATATGCCTGTAAGTCTTCCTGGTGTGTTTAAAACACATTATTTAGAGTGGCGAGTTTGTTGAAAAATGATACTGAGACCATATTTTTATTACAGGGATATAACTCCAAGAAAGAATTTATTGCAGCACAAGGTCCTTTGCCTAACACTGTGCAAGATTTCTGGCGCATGATCTGGGAGAAGAAAATTTACACCGTTGTTATGTTGACTAAATGTGTTGAACAAGGCCGGGTAAGTTTTTTTAAACTTCTAAGACCAGTTACAAAACATCACAACCACAACTGTCTTATCTACCATGTACATGAGTGGCATTAGAATGTATTTAAAACTATTATTTCCTGCTCCTTACACAAATCAATATAGCCAATAAATAAAACAATATATATTGCTGGCAGAGAGAGTGTTTATTTACTTTTTGTTTATTAAATTTATTGGCTGACCATCTTACTACTGGGTAGCTCTATACAAGAGTTACTCTGTGGTAACTATGCAAGGAAAAGCCAACATACAGATCATCTCCATAGTAAAATATTCCAAATTGAGTTTAGAGGAAAGGTAGAACAATGAGACATGAGGTCAAGTTTATGTTCTTAGAGATAATGCCGCTACTAAGGAGAAGCTAATCCTTCGCCATGCCATGTTTATAGTCATAGAGCAGCAGATAATTAAAATAATGTTCTATGGCAAGAATAAGAAGGTTTCTTGTAACTGTTCCCTAGATTGTGATTGGAATCATGTTAGTCTTCAAGGTAGAAGAAAAACGAGCCAGATTGGTGCAGTGGTTAAGACATCAGCCTAGTAATGGGAGACTGAATTCTAGTCCCAACTTAGACACAAAATCAACTGAGTGATGTTGGACTTGTCACTTTCTCTCAGCGAGTAGGAAACAATCAAGGACAAACCACTTCTAAATATCTTGCCAAGAAAACTGCAGGGATTTATCCAGGCAGTCTTCAAAAATTGAACAAGATTAAACATATATGAAACATAAGAAAAAAGAAAGAGCAAACCTAATTCTCATAGTTTCTTCTCTGTTGACTAAGAATTCTGTAAGAATTGTTGTTATGTATTGTCTGTCTAGTACAATGTTATGGGAAGCTGATTTATTGTAGTATCTTACAGCTGTGATATCTTCAATCCAAGAAAGGATTTGACAATAAAATTATTTTACAGTATAACCTATGGATCATTTATATTTTTAGACAAAATGTGAAGAGTATTGGCCAAACAAGCAATCCAAGAATTATGGAGACTTAATGGTGGCCATGACTTCAGAAATTTTCTTACCCGAGTGGACAATAAGAGATTTCTCCATACAGCAAGTGAGTTACGATCATATATTACAGAGCTTTCTATTGATAGAAGGAAATTATCTGGGTTTTTGGCAATCAGAATTTGGACCCATGGTACGAGACAGAAACTGCATAGATGACGTATGCCAAAGCATGGAATGTGGAATCATAACCATTCTTGTCTTACTAGATAGCTGGGCAGGCTTCAGTATTGTGAGGCACAATATCTTTCTGGGCTTCTTAGAAGAGTCGGCAGTGGGTGATATTATTTTATGGTAATTCCACTTCTGTCTGGTCAGATCAGGCCTGTGGTTGTGGGGTGCGGGATCAAGCTTGCAGGCATTACAGAAGCACATGGAGAGCGTGACTAGCCGCAGGTGGTACCTCCACTGCAACCTGATTTAGAACAAGATCACTTACACTCTTGCCCTTTCCAGCTTGATTGCTGCCATTTGCTGTTCGGCTACCGAGTAGCCACGGATTAAGATGTTCAATTGAGTGCCCTCAAGAGAACAATGAAACTTTACACAATGATAATGGTGATCAGCAAGTGGTTTTATGTAGATGCTGAATAGAAGTAGCCCTGCCATACCCTCCCTCTTTATCAGTTATGATAAAATAAATATTATAAAACCGGACCTGGTAGAAGGAATTTTTCATAGTTGCATCAAGCTTGGGATTGGGGCAGTGTTTTAACAATGTGTAGTGTATTCCCAGAGCTAAATTTACTATTTATAAACTATTTACTATTTACTAAATTTACTATTTAAATCTACTTGCTTACCTACTTACGTACTTTGGGTCAGTCCTTATTTTGCCTAATCTCAAGGAATTTGGGCAGGAAAAATACGTTTTAAAGCCCTGAAGTTTGGAACTAGGAAAAAAAACATACCATTTTTTATTAAGAATAAATAGCAATGACAATAGCACTTAGACTTATATACCGCTTCACAGTACTTTACAGCCCACTCTAAGTGGTTTACAGAGTCAGCATATTGCTCCCAATAATCTGGCTCCTCATTTTACCGACCTCAGAAGACTGGAAGGCTGAGTCAATCTTGAGCTGGTTAGAATCGAACTGCCAGCAGCAGTCAGTCAGCCTGCATTCTAACCTCCGCTCATAAAGGGTCAGGGCAATGATACACAGGGAATACAATTAGTCTTCATTTAGCAATTGTCTCAGACAGCAACCATTCATACAATAGAGATGAAAAAGTAACCAATGTGACCAATGCCCACATTTATTTTTTGCAGGGCTTCCAAAGCAAAGAAAAGCTTTGCTTTGGTTCTTATGTAACCTCATAAACATAAGCGGGAGCTTCCCTGCTGTATTTATCTTTGCCAGTTTGTCTCTCCTACTCTCCTCCAGCTACCCTTGGATCGAATTTCATTCCTGCTGTTTTTGTTTCCAGTTATGTTGATTTCTGCCAACCTGGTGCCCTCAATCGTGCAAAACACTATTCCCAGAATTCCCAGTGAGCTTTGTTTTCAGCAATGCTGCCTGATAATTCTGGCAAATAGAGCTCCAACACAGCTGGGCAGGGCACTAGGTTGAGGGAAAATGTAGATTTGATCTGCCTCTCTTTGCTTGTCTCCCAATGTGCATTTCCTGGGTTTGCCATCACAGGACTCAGAGTAAAGAAGAGTCACGATCACCCCCTTCAATAGCTTGTATGAACAAAGCTTTTTTTGTTTAAGTAAAGCAAGTTGCCAGGAGGCGTCCGCGCAAATAATTCCTTTGTGAGTTCTAACTTCTCTTCTGTATTTTGACAAGAGTGATTCACCGGAAAGTCATCCTGTGCGTCAGTTTCACTTCACTGCCTGGCCTGATCATGGGGTTCCAGAAACCACAGACCTCCTCATCAGCTTCAGGCACTTGGTGCACGAATTCATGAAGCAGAAGCCACAATCTTCTCCAACCTTAGTTCATTGCAGGTACAAATATAATACCTTTACCGACATTTAAGTATGATTTTCTGTGGTTGTGCTTGGGTACAATGAGTGGCTGTCTTGCAAGGATATTCATGGAAACAGCTGCTTTTAAAATCGGGCATTGAGCTAGGAAGTGACAGTGCCATTTGCGGGGTGTCAGTTGGAATTCAACCCACCCGCTTGTAAAATGCATGCTATCAGTCTAACACATATCACGAGGTACGCCGTACATAAGGTACACACAATCTTTTGCCTTTTATCTTGTCTGAACAAAAGAACCTATTTTATATTTATTATATTTGACCCTCGGATTTCTGCATTTTTTCTTCTCCGTGGCCAGAAGGGGCATTTGGAAGTTTTGTATTTACTTTTAAGTCATTGGTGGTGTGTGTTAATGAAATATCAACTGCAGGTTTTTGACTTGATGGCATCTTAACTAGTTGGTTTAAAACAGGGGTGTCAAACTCAATTTCATTGAAGGCTGCATCAGGATTGTGTTTGACCTCGGGGGGGGGCAGAGTGGGAGTGGCCAGCGTGACATCATTCATGTGGGGAGGTGCCTGTGGTGGCCCGAGCGCTCTGCCAGCAAAAACAGAGCTTAGGAGGGCTGTGTGCCTCCCTCCCGAGCTCCATTTTCATTGGCAGAGGCACCGCGGGATGTTTCCAGGGCAGCCCCATGGGCCAGATCCCTGTAGGCCGGATCCAGGCCCCGGGCCTTGAGTTTGACACCCCTGGTTTAAAAGAAACCAAATTTGAGCTATGATCAGTTGGCTGGTAAAGAGTCCTGCTGCCATGGGATGACCCCATGGGTTGGAACGGACTGAGAGGAGAGCTGTGTGGATATTTCCAAATATGATAGCATGTGCATCAAGGCATGTATCAGAGAGAGAGAGACTGCATTAGTGTGGAGATGAAACAAACTGTCCCTCGTGAATGTCTTCAGTCACTGAGTAATAGTGTTAGCCTCCTGAAGTGGCAGAATTTTTTGGGAGTCCAAAACAAACCAAACGGAGAGTTAAGGTCAGGCTCTCCTCCATCCCCCCAACCCTGGCTTTAAACCATATTATATTAAAACTGTAGGGAAGCAAAGGATTAGGATTCACATCCAGCTTATGCTGTGGGAGTGTAATTTTTACTTTCTTTTTCATGTGCTCTCTGCTAAATTGCCCTTCCCAAAATAACATCATCTCATTTTGCAGGCAATCAAAATAAAAAGTTATTCTAGCCCAATTTTCAAAATACCAACCCAATCATACTGAGAGGCAAGGGGATGCTTTCTTCTTTATCCTTTTTGAAACCCTGAGAACCTAACTGAGCGTTAGATATTTCATTTTCTAAAACATGGAAAGCCACTTTAGCTGCCAACAGTGTTCTATAGCTAGTCCTCGACTTACAATTGAGCCCAAAATTTCCATTGCTAAGCAAGACCGCTATTAATTTTGCCCCATTTTAGGACTTTCCTTGCCACAGTTGTTAAATAAATCGGCTGCAATTGTTAAATTAGTTAACACGGGTTGTTAAGTGAATCTAGCTTCCCCATTGACTTTACTTGTCAGAAAGTTACAAAAGGTGACCCCAGGACCCCAGGATAAGGCTACCGTCGTAAATACGAAGCAGTTGCCAACCATCTGAATTTTGATCATGTGCAATGGTTGGATGTGACTGAAAAACAGTCATAAATCTTTTTTTTTCCAGTGCCATTGTAACTTTGAATGGTTACTAAACAAATGGTTGTAAGTCAAAGACTACCTACATGTATATACTGGCTTGGCTAGATAAAAAAATCTCCTTCAAGTCAAAGTCAGTTCCTGGTGTCTTCACAGATATAATCATGAAGTTTGATAATACAGAAATGATTTGCCACTGCCACCTTCTAGTATAAGTTTGTTTTTTTCTTCCCAATTTCCCAGCCTGGAGCCATATGATTCCTAACAATCTCCCATCTCCATGTAATCCAGTGATTCCCCCCATGGACAAGACGATGATGACGATGTTTCTGTTTACATACAGTACATTATATTTAGAATTACAGTATATTGTACTCTGGTCCCTGGAAAAACAGCAGATAAACAGGGTGGCTGGACAACCAGGGCATTAGTTTCCTTTCTTTTTTTCCTTATGTAGAAGAGAGAAAATTGAGGGGGTGCTATTTTTAGATTAGATAATGCAATGCTTGAAAAACATAGTAAAAGAGTCAGATGAAGGTATTCAACCCTCTGCCTTTTTTTTTTTTAAACAGCGCTGGTGTCGGGAGGACAGGAACTTTCATTGCAATTGACCGTTTGATACAACAGATGGAGATGGAGAACACAGTTGATGTGTACGGCACTGTATACGATCTACGAATGCATCGATCTTTAATGGTACAAACAGAGGTACGGGCAAACTGCTATTCTAAGCATGCAGAACAAGAATTGGGCACAGGTAGTCCTTGACTTACGGTATAAGGGTAACAACTGAGAATTAGGGTTATAAGACATAACAGTCATTAAATGGGTCGCCACATGACAGCACCCAATTTTACAACTTTTTTTGGTCGTAAAATGCCAAAAATCATGGTCATGTGACTGCGCAGGACAGGCTGCAAATGGCTGTAAATGCAAGCTGGTTGCAAGCGCCCCAACATGCAATCACGTGATGAGGCATGTGTGCAGCCACTGGAACTTCAAAACTTCAAAAACGGGCCATAAGTAACTCTGGGCAGGTCTGACATAATTTGGAACAATCACTAAGCAAGGACTACCAGTATGTCATTATTATTAGGTCTGTAGAGTGCTTTGGATTCAATCTCCAAAGTGCTTCAGAGTATGTAGCAGTATGTTTGAGGTAAGTAGAGTATGTAGTATGTTTGGAGATAGAGTCCAAGATTAGTACGATCTGAGTACAACCCTAGTCATGATTGGTTTTAGATATGTGCATTTTTCTCTTTAAACTGATGGATACGTCTTCTAAAACCTATGATTAAAATTGCATTGCTTTTTCCCCCCTCTTAGGACCAATATGTCTTCCTAAACCACTGTGTTATGGATATTATTAAATCTAAGAAAGAGAAGAAAATGGATCTCATCTATCAGAACACAGATGCCATGGCAATCTATGAGAATTTCACACCATCATCACCATACATTGGAAGGGCAAATGGCTACCATGTATAACTAGGAAGGAATGATCTGCTTCCCGTTTGGGCCTTTTGCAGAGGACAGAAAGAATATGCACTGCTTTTGTATGACTTTATATATACACAAAGACTTCAGCACCTGTTTTGAAGATGCACGTGTTAAATTGTCAGAGGAAACTGTGGATTCAATATAGTGTTAAAAGAAAAAAAATCTATACTGTATTTTGCAGAGAATTTTTGCATTGAGGGTTGATAAAACAAAATATTATTGGTGAAATTAATGTTGGCTGAATAATAAGAATGAAAAATACAGACACTTTTAAATTATTTTTTTAACATGTTCATGTTCAGACTTCCTAGGATACTGATTCTATTGTTCGTGTTCCAGAAATATTAATGATATATTGGTCACTTTAACATTTAAATTCCACAGTGACTTCTCAAATTCATTTTATTTAAAATGGGAACACGTAAACCGTTTATAAATAGGATATTTTATTATGTAATTGTGCCTTTCTATTTTGCTAAAGACAAAATAATCAGAGATCTATATTTTTGTATTGAAATTCTCAGATGATGTCTAACATTTGAATATGATTATTTTCCATTTTTTAAAATCTGGAATACCTATGCTTATTCTTTCCCCGTGGAAGTAGCAACCATTCATTTTATGATACTTTATTCTGTGGAAGGTTTGTTGCAGAATTCATTTGCTTGATCTTGTGAGCACAATAACTATCGTATCATATTTTAATTTTATAAGAAGGACAAGGTTTTCATATATGGGTAAATTAAAATTTATCCAATTTTATTTTCATGCATTGAAAATATTTCCCACTTGTCTAAAAAAAAATGATGAAAGTAGTCTTTCCGTGCCCTTTGAAGATCCTGGTTATTCTGTTTCTGAGCACCATTTTCTTCTTTGACCCTCAGTCTTGTGTGTCCTTATTACCTTTTCACTTGAATATGTATAATGATTAGAGATTTCATCTATTGTCATAATTTGTATGCTTAGCAATACTTGTGAATAGCTGATCACATTTGACAATAGTATGGGCACCGCAAAAGAAAATGGTATTGAGAAATAGCAGTTGTTTATGAAACAAAAGGAAGTCAAGCTTTTACTTTGTGAAAATATGCTAATTTCTAAGTAAAAAAAATAAGGGATGTCCAAGTAGCCATTGATATTTATGACCTCAGGTTTAATTGTTAGGGGTATGCAACTAATAATGCAAAGATGGAAAAGGTGTGTGAGTGGATTGGCAACTTTAATTTCTAATCAATGTAATACCCTGTTTCTCCAACAATACGGCCTCCCCCAATAGGAAGTCCCAGCATGTTTTATAGGCATGAAATGAAATTAAGCCCCTCCCCCCAAATTAAGGTCTAGATTAAAACATGCGAAATGGGGGGGAATGGTGGGGGGGCTTGCCGTTAGGAAGTACTTTTGTTGCACACCCGGATACGGTGCTGCCTGCGTTGACCCCGATACGAAGTGCCCCACCAACGTCGAGGTCAACATCCAAGCCATCGCTGCCCGCCCACCCGCCCGAAGATGCAAGGGGGGGGGAATTAAGTCACCCCCGAAAAGACGGCCTAGCCATTTTTTCGGGGCTCAAAAAAAAAAAAAAGACCCGGCCTTATTATATGAGAAACACGGTAGTTTTATCAAGTTTTTTCAATTCATAGTTCTTCAGGGTAAAAGTTTTACGTAATATCTCCAGTAATCAGTGCTTTAATGGCCACAGTTGAACCAGAACTTCTTTTGCTAAGTGATGCAGTATTGAATTTTGCCTGATTTTGCGACATTTTGGCCTCAGTTGTTAAATGGATTGCCATAGTTGTTAAGCAAATCCAGGTTCTCCTATTGGTTTTGCTTATTAGAAGTCCCTGGGAAGTTTTCAAATTGCAATTGGGTAAGCCTATATCCATTATAAATACATATTAGTTGCCAAGTGCCCAAATTTTAATCATGACCATAGGGGCATTGCAATGGTCATAAGTGCAAGGACAGTCACTTTTTTTCAGTGCTCTCGTCATCTTGCATGGTCATTAAACTACAAATGGTTACAAATGTATGCCCGGTTGCTTAGTGACTATTCACAGTTACCATAGACTTTCCAAAAGGAAGGCAGGAAAGATCAAGGCCACACATAAAGTTCCAGTTAATCTGATTACTAATCATCCATATGCATTGGAAGCTACTCAACTAATGGTTAACACTATCTTGGTGTTAGGTAGGGGGAAACAAAATTCAAGAGGGGTTGTATTTAGTTCATTTGTGGCTATGTAGAGACTCTTTTGACTCTGCCCCCAGGTTTTTTCACTCCTTCCCCTACACACATTGGGTAAAATGGATTTTCTTAACGATCATGGCATTCACTTAACTGCTGCCAAAAAGTCATAAAATTATGTGCAATCAAGTGATGACCTGCTTAATGACTGCAACAACTTAGGGCTGTAATTTTTGGCTCAATTATGGTCATAAGTCAAGGATTACTGTAGTACTTTTCCATGCAGAAGCAGGAATATCAAAGGTGGAGCTTATGGGACCTGAGAATATCGGTACGGCTTCCTGCCTTACGATGATCGTTCAAGTGTCTCAATCATAGCGTGTTATTCAGATCTTCCAAAAGATTTTTAACAAGCATTTTTTTTTCTATTTTAAAAAGTAGTCTTTCAATATGCCTAGCACAACTCCTCTTTTACCTACTTGTCTTAAATTTAGGAAGCTTCCTTTGTTTATCACGGGAGGGATAGTCTACATTCAGATTTTACACCTGGCTCCCATCTCTTCACCATTACACGGCTTACGTTCAGTAAAAAATGGCCAATTTTCAGCATCCCTTGGAGTGGAAGTATAAGCAGGAAGTCTCTGGGAGATAGCCAGCCTTCTCCCATTTCATCTGCTGACACATTTGCAAATGATCTGAAATTTGCTCTCAGGTTTCATTGGGATGATTTAGAGGAGAATTTGAAAAGTTTCCAATTAGAGGAAAAGTATTGTTCGCTCCTCAGAGGCTGCTACACTTCTCAAAGAGGCCAAATTTGAGTTGCATCCTTCCCTTGCTGCACCTAGGCAAAACAAAAAACCACACCCTACCATTCTTTCAATTTTCACGAAGTTACTTTAGAAAGGCAAAAGACATAAACAGAATTTGGTTTCCAGTTGCACTCAGTGGAGACATTGAAATTTGCATAAATAAATTTCATATTCAGATCTCAAAGTCAAACCAAGGATTGGATTTGCCTTTTTCTGAATCAGAGCCCAAATTAAAACTAACTAACTAGCTACTTTAAAACTTGTTATTGTGTTGCAAACTGAATACTGTAGCAATAAACTCGTGTGTGATTTCCCATTAAGTCGATCGCACATACACCCTCCATGCATTCTCAGGTTTCCAGATACCTATAGAAGAATAGTAATGATTGGTTCACCACATGCAAAATAAAACAACATTGGTCATTTTCAGGGCCCATTTCAGAGTGAACCGGCTTATCTAAGTTATAAGATTATCACTTGAAAGCTGTCACTTCAGTTGATCTTGAGGGCTGACCACAAGTGGCATTCTTAGGGAAGGAGAAAAGCTATGTAGCTTTAACTGTGGTTTGCATACAATTGTTGTAAGGGTGTGTGGCATTGGTGGGGTGGGTACCCCTCCTGTCCTGGTTGTATTTTGTGTTCTTTTCTGTGATGAAGATTTATTTAAAAGTGCAATATTTGATTTATTGAATGAATGATTGCCTCTATTTGAATAGAGTTTACTCAGGTTCATTATCATTCCTGTTTGTTCTGTGGTTTATATTCTTGTGCAAATAGTTTTCAAAAGCCTGAAGAACTCCTGTAGTTAGAATAATCATATTTGCTCTATGTCTTTTGACTAAAAAAATACAAAGATCTACTGAAACTCTCCGCTGCAGATTTTTTATGCAGTGAAATACATACACACTCATGCATATGTTGCTGTAGACATATCTATGTATATGTATATGGCTCTGGTTTTGTTCTATTATGCTGCTGTGGTTTGTAATGGATACGATTAATGAAAAATGAAGGGTTCTGCATTGAATTACTTTTGTTGGTACACTGATCTTAAAATTATGAAGGCATTTTTAATGAAGGACGTGGTTTGTAAAAGGGAAGGGGATTCATATATTTCTTTTAATCAATGCGCTGGCAGCATTAAAAACTGGTATGATATTTGAGTGTATTATATTGCTATGTTGTATTTTAGTATTGTAGATTTCACTCAGCTTTCTTCAACACAACCCACCATTGCATTAAGCCTGTGAGCAAAACTGCTTCCCTCGTTCAAGTTTAAGATTCGGGGATATCCCAGTGTTATAAAGTTTGGATACAGATTGTTGTATAGAAATGTATATTCTATTTCTACAAAAACAGAAAGTTTGTCTTGGGTGGCTTTTGGTGTGTTTGTCCAAATGCTTTTTACTTGCCTTCTTTGGTTTAATAATTTTTGTCCTTCTGTCTTTCTCATTGTTATGTATACAAACTGTATCATTTACCTGTGTGAAGCCATTAAATAGGAAGCAGTCCACCTCTTAATGTAACTTTTCCTTTGCAAGTTGGTGAGATCCCATACAGATTATAAATACAAGATTCCTTTTGGTGAAAACTGATGCATAGGGAAAAAAAGTTTTGCAGACAATTTAACTAAGAAAAGAAACTGCTTGAGGATAACAAAATGCTAATCAGATACTGGATCAGCCATGGTGGCACAGTAGTTAGAATGAAGTATTGCAGGATACTTCTGCTGACTGCCAGCCTGCCTGCAGTTTGGCAGTTCAGTTCTCACTGGCTCAAGGTTGACTCGGCCTTCCATCCTTCCGAGGTGGGTAAAATGAGGACTCAGATTGTTGGAGGCAATATGCTGACTGTAAACTGCTTAGAGAGGACTGTAATATACTATAAAGTGGTGTATAAGTCTCAGTGCTATTGCTATTGGTAGAGCAGCCTTCATGGGTTTTGAGATAATCATACTTACCATAGAAAACACTCTAAAGGGCTTTTGAACTAGGCTGCAAAATCTGAGATGACCATTAGAGGGCAGTGAAAAGATGCATAAAACTGCCTTGACTGCTATCTAGTAGTTGTCCGGGTATTTGCCACCCAAGTCTAGTAGCCACACATGCTACTAGCCACGCATAAACAACTGCTGGGTCAGAAAGACCAGAATGTATGCCTTTTTTGTAATAAAAGAAATGGTATCTTTTTATAGCAAAGCAATAGTAGAAAAATGTGCCTACAATTTATGCTGATAAACCCATTGGCAAAAGCATTTCTTAATAAAATTTGAAAGGCCCGAGGATCAGAAATGAACAGTGGGCAGAGTAATCTAAACCTGTGTTGTAAAAAGCTCTAAAATCAAGACAAGGTAGAAGGAAAGGGGGTCAACTCTGTTTTTCCTTCTATAACTAGTGTTTGCAAATATTCAACTTTCACTGAAGCCTTTTTAAGTTTAGAAGTTAGTGGAAGGACAAAACATTGCATTTCCAAACTTTCAGCTCTTAGACCTCAGAGGAAGAAATTTAAACCAATCGTACTTTGGCATTCTCAGCCATGAAGTCTAAATTTCATACATAAATTCAAATAGTTGTAGAAACTAGGAAGTGAATGAAGATGTTAGGGGGGTTGCAAAGATTCCATGGATGAAAATCCTACAGGGGAAAACAACTCAAGAATCTTGGGAAACTCTGAAAAGTATGATCATAGAAGCCCAGACCAGCACAATACCACTGAGAAAGAAAAACAAAAAATCCAAGAAGAAACCAGCATGCTGCACAAAGATCTCTCTGGCAAATTGAAAGAAAAAAAGGACAAGTACAAAACAATGGAAAGAAGGACATACAACTGAGGCAGAATATCAGCAGATAGCCAGAATCTGCAAAGATGAAGTCAGGATAGCAAAGGCTCAGAACGAACAACAAAAGTCAAAGATAATAAAAGTTTCTTCCAACATATAAATAACAAGAAAAAAAAATCAAGGAAACAGTCGGTCCACTAAAGAGAGAAGATGGCAAAGAAGTAACAGGCAACAGAGAGAAAGCAGAACTGCTTAACTCATTCTTTACGCAAAAAGAAATTATAGCTCAACCTACCAAAAACATAACTGTAAAAGACAGACCAGAAATAAAAGTTAAAATAAGCAAAAAAATAGTAAGGGAACACCTGTCTGATCTTGATGAAAACAAATCACCGGGGCCTGATGGATTACATCCCAGAGTTTTAAAGGAGCTGGCAGAAGTCATCTCAGAACCACTGCACCATATCTTTCAAAAATCCTGGAGCACCGGGGAACTACCAGAGGACTGGAAAAGAGCTGATGTGGTTCCCATCTTCAAAAAAGGGGAAAAAACAGACCCAGGAAACTATAGACCAATCAGCCTAACATCATTACCTGGGAAGATACTGGAAAAGATAATAAAAAAACAGATCTGCCAACATCTAGAAACAAGTAAAGTAATAACTAGCAGTCAGCATGGGTTTGGTAAAAACAGATCATGCCAAACCAATCTTATTTCATTCTTCAACACAGTGACTAAATTAGTAGACCAGCAAAATACTGTGGACATAATATACTGTATTTAGATTTCAGCAAGGCATTTGACAAAGTAGACCACAACCTACTTCTTAGTAAGCTAGAAAAAAAGTGGAATAGATAGCACCACCACTAGATGGACTCGCAACTGGCTGGCAAATTGTACTCAACAAGTATCCTTAATGGGTCTAAGTCTACATGGAGGGAAGTAAGCAGTGGGGTGCCACAAGGTTCCGTCTTAGGCCCAGAACTCTTCAATATCTTCATTAATGACTTAGATGAGGGAATAGAAGGGGAACTTACCAAAGTTGCAGATGATACTAAGCCGGCAGGAATAGCTAACACCCAAGAAGATAGGTTCAAGATCCAGATGGATCTTGACAGACTAGAACACTGGGCCATATCTAACAAAATTCAATGTAGAGAAAAGTAAAGTCCTACACTTAGGCACGAAAAGCCAAAAGTACACATACAGACTGGGTGAAACTATGCTCAGTAGCAATAACTGTGAGAGGGATCTTGGAGTCTTAGCGGACAACCAGCTAAATATGAGCCAGCAGTGTGCAGCAGCAGCCAAAAAAATTAATGCAATCCTAAATTGTATTAACAGAGGGATACAATCAAGATCAAGGGAAGTACTAATACCACTCTATAAAGCCTTAGTAAGACCAAAAAAAGATACAAAAATTTATGCCACCAGATAAAAACTGAATGCACCAATTATCACATTAAACAAGAAGAAAACCTACTACGCACCAATTCCACCCACGCTTTCTACAATTTTATAAACAAGAAACTAAAAGACTCGAGGTCCATCCCACCTCTGAAAGGACCTAATGGTAAAGACTAAAATGACGACAACATTAAAGCCAACCTCTTTAACACATTCTTTGGCTCAGTATTTGTAAACAGCAATAGATCATGCCCAGTATTTCCTAGCCGAACCACAGAAAACTACAATGATCTAATACATATCGATTTTACAGAAGACATTGTTGAAAAAGCACTGCACAATCTAAAACCATCTCTATCTATTGGACCAGATGGAATATGTACCTACATCTTAAAAAAGCTATCCACTGCCATAGCCGAACCTCTAAGCATAATCTTCGAAAACTCTTTCAGAACCAGCTCCTTGCCAAACCTATGGTCACAAGCCATGGTCATCCCCAGCCTAGTTGAAAATTACAGACCAATCTCTTTATGCTGCGTCACCTGTAAAGTCATGGAATCAATTATTAACCAATCCATCATCCTCCACTTAGAGACAAAGAACCTACTCTCTAATAAACAATTTGGTTTCAGAAGGAAACTATCCTGTAATCTGCAACTCTTACACTGCAAAAACATATGGACTACACTACTCGATCAGGACAAAGCAATAGACGCAATCTACATAGACTTCTGTAAAGCCTTTGATTCAGTGGTACACGACAAACTACTCCTAAAACTAAAATCTTACGGTATGTCTTGACACCTGCATTACTGGATAGAAGCATTCCTGTCAAACAGACCACAAATGGTCAAAATTGGGAGCATCCTATCAAATTCTGTACCTGTCAACAGTGGTGTCCCCCAAGGCAGTGTTCTAGGACCAACTCTCTTAATAATCTACATAAATGACTTCTGTGATCATATTAAGAGCAACTGTGTTCTCTTTGTTGACGATGTAAAGCTATTCAACACCACCGACAATACTGCTACCCTTCAAAAAGACCTTGACTATGTATCGATATGCTCAAACAAATGGCAACTTCAAATCTCAACAAATAAATGCTCTGTCCTACATATTGGCAAAAAAAAAATCAAAATAAAATACTGGCTGAATAATAAAGACCTTGTTGATCCAAACTCTGTCAAGGACCTTGCAGTAGTAATCTCAAATGATCTAAGTGCTAGAGCCCACTGTAACTACATAGCCAAAAAAGTGTTAAGAGTTGTTAACCTAATCTTATGTAGCTTTTTCTCTGGTAATATTACACTAATAACTAGAGCATACAAAACATTTGCTAGACCAATACTCAAATACAGCTCATCAGTCTGGAACCCACATTACGTATCTGATATTAACACAGTTGAGAAAGTCCAGAAATATTTCACAAGAAGAGTTCTACACTCCTCTACCCTTTGCAGAATACCTTATGCCCCCAGGCTCGAAATTCTAGACCTAGAAAACCTAGAACTATGCCGCCTTCGGTCCGATCTAAGTATCGTATATAAAATCATACATTGCAGTGTCCTACCTGTCAATGAATACTTCAGCTTCAACCATAACAACACTAGAGCACACAATAGATATAAACTCAAGGTTAATCGCACCAAACTTGATTGCAGGAAATACAACTTCAGCAACAGAGTGGTCAATGTCTGGAATACTCTACCTGACTCTGTGGTTTTATCCCCAAACCCTAAAAACTTTAACCTTAGACTGTCTACTATTGACCTCACCCCTTCCCTAAGAGGTCTGTAGGGGGCGTGCATAAGCGCACCAACGTGCCTACCGTCCCTGTCCTATTGTTTATTTTATATTTTTTTATTTTTCTTATATGTATCCATGTATTCATAACTATGTTTTTACTTATACCAATTACCTTGTAAGCAATTGACAAATAAAAATAAAGAAATAAAATAAATTAAATAGAATTTGTATGTTCTGTTCCTGCAGTTGTTCTGCTTTAATTCTAGGTTATTCTCTTCCATGTCCATTTCTCTCCAAGATCCACCCTTGACACTACTAAAACCTGGTCTATCTGGCATTCAGAACTTCTCATCCCCTTTATATTGGTTCTTGATTCTTGGGGTTCCCGGTTATCCAGATAATTTTTTTCTAAACTACTTTGTCTGATTCACTTATCTAGCCATACTATTTAATAGAACATATAGAGTCATCCTGGGGGTAGAATTAGAACCATGAAAGTACAACATTTCCTGTAACATCTCATTTAACTGTTCAGTGGATAATTTTAGTGAATATGGCCAAGGGTTATAGAAAAACTCAGGAGGACGAACAGAACTGTATTCTTGCAATCTTTGCCATAGAACTTTCTGGCACAGTGTCCAAAATGCTTTGGATGCAAAAATCAGGTTCAAAAGACAACTGGATTGGATCCAGGTAATCTGTATCTGATTATCTGTATCAGCTGCCACCCTCTAAGACAGGGGTTGCCAACCTTTTGGACCTCAGGGACCACCAAACTCATATTTTTAGATCCCAGGG